CTACCGGCTTCACGGTTTGCCGGGCAGCCTCCAGACCCTGCGCCCCTGGCTGGGTGCTTCCCCTCCCGGGCTCCAGCTGCGCTGGGGAAGCGCCGGCCAGGGGCATAGGGTCTGGGGGCTGCCCAGCAAACCGTGAAGCCGGTAGTGCTTGGGCAGCCCTTTTCGCGTGGCTGGGAGGGAGGAGGGGGAGTTAGGGCGGGGACTTTGGGGAAGGGGTGGGGAATGGGTGGAGTTGGGGCAGGGAATGGGTGGAGTTAGGGCGGGCCCGGTGGTGGGAAAGGGGCGGGGCCAGGGCCCCGTGGAGTGTCCTCTTTTTTTAAATTTTTTAAATATGGTAACCCTAGGAGCGCTGGGAGGAGGGCGGAGAGCCCGGCCGCGGGCCTGCTCTCCCCGGCCGGCCGGAGCGCCGGGAGGAGGGCGGAGAGCCCGGCCGCGGGCCCGCTATCGGGCCTGAGCACCGCCCCCTTCCAGGTGCCGCCCCAAGCACATGCTTGGTAGGCTGGTGCCTGGAGCCGGCCCTGTCTGCATTGAACCCATATAAAATGGGGAAGGCGAGAATTTCTGCACTGTGTTATAGACAGAACCACTAGATTTGTAGCTGTGTTAATCCAGTGGCTGGGAAGCCCCTCTTAGGGGTCTGCAGAGGAGCTCCAGCAGATATTCCAGCCCACAGACTGGACAAGAGGCATCAAGTTCTTAGTGGGGAGTTGGAGCGGGGGCAGGAAAGAGAATTCCATCCTAGGCAATGTGAAGTCCCCTACAAAAAAGGGCCACTCATTCAGGGAAGTACATTTCACCCAGGGTGCAATATGCCTAATATGGAGAAAGGGCACATGGGCCATAAACTCAATTCCAAGAGCTGTCTCACACTTGAATCTGTTGCACAAACACTCATTCCTCACATAGAACAGCTGCTCTGCTAGGAACCAGCTACTCTTCCGGCCCTGCCTGCCTCGCCCCTGGGACTCAGGTAGTGCAAACTTGGTGATGTCACATTTAATTTCTGGGTTTACTGTGCATGCTTATCTTGTAATGTAATGTGTTATGACACCACCTTGTCTCTGATGAAATAAAACTGCATTAGACTCAGAAAGGTGCCAGTTTACTTAAAAGCATGGGACTTGGAACAGACTTAGCTCTCATAGCTGGCAGAGATCTTTGCTGTGCTCCTGAGTCTTTAATTTATGTTGTGGAAGTTCCTCTGTTTGGAGAATGTTGATCCAGCTGAGTGGCTGTTGTTGACAAACATCTTTTCTCAGAGGCTCTTGGAGAGGATCATTATCATTGGGATTGCAACACATGGATGTACATTGACATCCTTCAGAGTGAAGTGAAGGAGTGGGATGTGTGCTGGTGTTGTGTGATCTCCTAGATGTCAATATTATGGAACCTTGTGTCTCAAGTCAGGAGAGTTCAGTCACTCATGATGGCAGGCATTTTTGCAACCAAATCCTTTCTGCATTTAACAGCCTACAGGGCAGTAGCAATTTTCCACCAGGGAGGAAGGAAAAATAACCTTACAAAGAGCCATGTATCTCATTCCTTCAACTTGTAGACCAAGTATTGGGAAGGTAGAGAGGCGGATGGTTTAGGTAGAGAGGTTAGTTTGGGATATTGAAAGAAGAAAAACCTATTAAGAAAAGCTTCAAAAACAAAATGTGTTTAACCTGGCAGAGGGGAGAAGAAGATCTAATTATGGCTCTGATGTATATTACACTCAAAAAAAAAAAATTATAAGAATGTTAAGGTTACAAAGACAAACGCTCAAAACTTAGGAAATGTCACTACTAACATTGTCTGTGCAACCTTAGTTTGCTCCCCTTGTCTGCATGCATTGCAATAGTCTTTAATTACATGATCACTTAGTATATTTCCACTGGACCCCTGCCTCATTCAGTGCACTGAATATTTTGTTTTATCTTCATATTTCAGTATTTGTCCCATTCAAACCCTGCTCTGAAAACAGAATTATTAATTTCCTGATAGGCTTTTCTTTGATGCTCATCACTATAGTATCTGAGTGCTTCACAAACAACTTATTTTCACAACACCCTTGTGAGGTAAGCTGGGGGAGGAATCTTATCCTTAGTGCCCATCTGTAAAATGGGGATATGTCTACACTACAAAAAAAAAAAAAAAAAAAAAAAAAGAAAGGGGAAAAAAAAAAAAAAAAAAAAAAAAAAAAAAAGGACCCATGGCAGCGAGTCTCAGAACCCAGGCCAACTGACTTGTAGTCAATATAGCAATGTAGCTCAAGTGTTCTGTACAAATGAATGGGACACGCTAAATTAGGAGGAAGGTTTTAAAAATTAACATATCTAATTTATAGCTCAGCAGTAATAGGGTTAATTAAGCTATTTGAAACTGAGCTGTAACAACAGTGAGCCCTAAAGAGTTCTTCTTTCTTCTATGATTGTCAGTTTGACCCTAAAAAAGATCACTTTTACCTGTGGTGAGATGGGAATTCATTTAATTCTCAGCTTCTCTTCACTAAGGTGCTCTGTCTCTGTCCTTCACCCACCTTATTCAGAGATACCATCTTATGTCTTCACTTTCTCAATTTCATATAGTTCTTATATTTCAAAACTGAGATTTACCTATCGTGGACCCTGTGCGGGTTGTTCCACGTCATTCCCTTATCTTGATATTTGCATGTTTGTGGAAGGTAGGCTGAGTTTAACACAGAACCTGCTTGTCTTTACAGCGTGAGAAGCATCCTTACTACAACCTCACAGTAAAAGTCCTCAGAGCCAGAAACATCCAGGGTACAGATCTGTGTAAGTACTTGACCAATGTTGTGCAGACTAATGTTTTACACAATGCACAACTGTAACATAGCCCGCATTTCCTCTGGTTGATGTAACACTGCATCCCCACAGCTTGCGTGTTTTTCTAAAATATCTGCTCTAGGAATTGCATGGGGGAAGTTCTCTGGCCTGTGTTACCCAGGAGGTCAGACTAGATGATGACAATGGTCACTTCTGACCTGGGAATCTATGAATCGGTCATTTTCAGTATATATTTACATAAAACTTTTTCCTACTAAAATGTATTTATATATTTTCAAGGACTGAAATAGAGCCAGGATTCAAATTAGTACCTCTTATGTTTCTGCTCCCTGTGCACATCCAGCCATGGCCTTCACTGTGTTCTTTCACACAGTCTCACCACAGTGCAACTCTACCCTGCAACTCTTGCCTTCCTGCAACTATCTGCATCAACTTTCCATCTTAGTTCGAGCCTCTATACATCTGTCTTCTCCCTGGACTACAATCCCCCTTTTCTTTCTCCCTTTGTTATGCTTACTGTTTAACTCTGTAAAGCCTTTGGGGACACAATGTGCATGAATGATGCTAAAAGTAAAGCTGTTTTGTGCCCTCCCATCCATTTTTGTTTACTTTTTCCTTTCCTTTTTTTAATATTTGCTTTTACAGCCCCATGACTTTTAAAATCCCCTTAGCCATTTTGGGTTTACTGTGTTTTTTTAATTAGTATGGATCTTGAGATTGAGGTAGTCTGTTTTTAGATTCATATATAACATCCAATACTAAATTTATTTAAATATTGAGTATCTATACAGCTAAAGCTACGATAATACTGAAGTGATGGATTCTGTAATAACACCTTATGTTGGTAGTCCATCACTGATGATGATGATGATGATGATATTGTCGCAATTCTCATATATGGCTACGCATATGACTCCGCAGTCCGAATCCTGATGCACAGAATCGGCTGCACTGAGGGCATGGGAAGTCTGTATCTATGATATTTGATGATGCAGCTCTGTGGCGCCTTTCACGTGCAGCCTGGAGATAATTTCATCGATCCCGCTCAAACTAATCACATGCTGATCTTGTCAGAGACCTCCAATGAGCCTGTTCTGAGCCATTTGCTCAAGTTCTTTGAGTTTGATGCCAGCCCACTGGAGACTGCTCTTCATATTATCTTTGAAGCGCTTATGTGGAGAACCCTTCTTTCTTTGGCCCTGACTCAACTCCCCATACAAGATCTGTTTTGGGAGACGGTGGTCTTCCATTCTGATGACATGCCCAGTCCACCTAATAACATTTCCTCATTGCTGGTTATGTTTGCTCTCTCAAGGACCTTAATATTGGTCACTCTGTTCTAACAGTGAATGCTCATTATTGAGCGAGGGTCACATGCGAAATTGCTCAAGCTGTTTAATGTGATGTCTGTAAAGCTATGAATCTGTCTCAGATCCATGTAGGAGAGACATTAGAACCACTGCACTGTAGATCTTCAATTTGGTGGAGAGACGGATGTTGTGTTGGTTAACAACTGTTGTTCGAAGTCGGACAAGGGCCTGGCTGGCTTTACTAATTCTAGAGGAAATTTCCTTATCAAGGGAACCATCACTTGAGATGGTACTGCCCAGATACTTGAACTGATCCACATTTTTCAACTGTGTGCCTTGGATGAAGATGGCTGGCATTGGGGCATCGAAATGAGGTGCTGGTTGGAACAAGACCTCTGTCTTCCCAAGTCTGATGGTGAGGCCAAAGAGCTGGGATGCTTCAGGAAATCTATCAACGTTGACCTGAAGGTCGTCTTGTCTATGAGCCGTCAAGGCACAGTCATCTGCAAAAAGTGCCTCGACGAGAAGCCTCTCCGGTGTCTTGGTCTTAGCAGTGAGTCTTCGAAGATCAAAGAGGGAGCTATCGAGTCAGTAGTGGGATGTATATTCCCCTGATCCAAGTCCCTTGTTGCATGGTTGAGAACGCAAGCAAAGAACAAGTTGAACAGCACTGGAGCGAGTATGCAGCCTTGCTTCACTCCATTCGAGATTTCAAATGCTTCGTAAAAGTCACCACTGGCGAGGACTTGTACTGTCATGTGGACATTGAACAGACAGATGATTTGTATGAAACTTCTTGGGCAGCCCAGTTTATGTAGAATAGCCCATAGACCCTCTGTGTTGACCGAATCAAAAACTTTGGTCAAATAGATTGAAAACTGCATACAGGTCCGTGTTCTGCTCTAAACATTTTTCCTGGACCTGCCTTACAACAAAGATCATGTCCATAGTGCTATGACCTGGTCTAAAACTATACTGCGCTTCTGGCAGATTCTCCTCAGATATGTCTGCTATGAGTCTGTTCATTAGAATGCGAGCTAGTATTTTGCCTGCTGTACAGAGGAGAGCAATGACTCTTTAGTTTCCTCAGTCAGCTTTGGTGCCTTTGTTTTTGAACAGTGATATGATAATAGCATCTTTGAAGTCTTGTGGCATTTCTTCTTCCTCCCAAATGCTACTCAAGATGTCATGAAACACCTCGATAGCCTTTGGGCCTGCTCCTTTATACAATTCTGCTGGGATACTATCCTTTCCAGATGCTTTGCCAGAGTTCAGTTGTTTGATGGCTTTTATAACTTCCTCAACTGATGGAGGGAGATCGAGATCCTCTTTGATGGGTCTCTCAGGTAAATGGTCAAGGACTCGTCGATCGACTGTGGATGGTCTGTTGAGTAGACTACTGAAGTGTTCAGCCCATCTCTGTATGATTCTCTTTGTCTTTGACAAGTCCTTATTATGATTGTTTGTTGAAGTGGATCGAATCAGCCATCCAAAATTATTTGACTTCATTGGGGAAGGGGTGGAGCCTGGCTGGAGGGTATTCTGGCTGGAGGACTAGAACTGTTCCCTTTTGGGAATGGGAAAAGGGGGAAGTCCCACGTCCTTAAACAGTTTCTATGGGAACATGAAGCTATCTGGGAGTGCCCTGCTGTGGAGGATAAACCACAGGATGAAGGCAGATGGCAGTTGTGTAGGTTTGGTGAGGCAGTATAGTGGTAAAAGAATTAGTCCCCCAAATCTTCAGTTTAATATCGCTTGTATTTCATTGAAGCTCCATTGTTTGACATTGTACCTTGGCTAGTTGCACAGTCCTGAAAGTGAAGCCATTACAGTGAAATAAGGACATTAGCAAAAAGCATTTCAGATAAAAGCCATGTTTCCTGGGCAAGCTGCAGGGTTTAATAGGCCAAGATATGACTCATGTAGAACAGGCCTGAAGAGAATTTTACTCCAGGCTGGATTATGTGGGAATTTAAAGAAAATGTATTGCCTGAACAAGTTTCTTTCTATGCTGCATCCTGTTTTCAGGGATACCTGGAAAAAATCTATAGGTCCTCATGGCTTAATATATGTTAAGAAGACATTTAAGACAGTTGTGAGGGTATCTAATCTAGATTATGACCCACTGAGTTCTATCACATGAGCTTTCCAGCTCTTAATAGTGTGTGTCTCTGCCAGAATTCACAAACCTATGAAATCCTGATTGTGAATGCAGGACTAGATCACATGCTTGGATCTAAGTGTCAGAATTTCCTGTCATGTAGGTACTTTATGGAAGAGATTTCCTAATGTTTTGATGGTTTCTCTGAAAGAGATTTCCTAACATTTCCCAATTAAAAGGAACACACAGGATCTAACTTGTTTGGAATAGCCTCTGAACTCAGCACTAGTGTCTTTATGCAGTCTTTAGGGAGAACAGAAAACCAATGCATGTTGCACAACCTGAGTGTTTCACTTTACCTTAGTACACTAGAATTAGATTTATTCTAGTGCCCGTATTCTGATACTCTTGTTGCACTCAGAAACGTGGTTTGATTTTTTTGCATTAGGCTTCTGGGGCATGGATCCCACTGCACATGAAAGCAAGGTGTTCTGTTCATGGTATAAGCTAATATACTTAAAGAATGGCAGAGTGAGATCTTTTCCTCTACTGTCCAAATAGCAGTAAAATAATTTCAGAAGAAGAAACCTCTTTGGAGCACTAGCCCTTTTCCCAGCAGTGTCCCTTTGAAGAAGGGGGTTTAACACTGGGACATACCTGAAAAATGAACTATTTCTGTGAAAAGAAATTCAATTTGCTGCTGTTGAAAATATTTGTGTCTTAATGAGAATACTCTCCCAGCCAGTCCAGCTGTTTTTTTCTGATTAATTCTGCACAATCCTGTGACATGATAGAATATAGAAAGCAATGACACATACCTGATTAGAATTATTCTGATACCATTCTTCTGTACTTTTCATTCCAGTGTCCAAGGCAGACTGCTTTGTGAAATTGCGTCTACCAACTGCATCTCCAGTCACTTATCGAACTCAGGTTGTTGACAACTCCAGTAATCCAGAGTGGAATGAAACCTTCCAGTACAGAATCCACAGTGCTGTCAAGGTGAGGGAGAGCCTTTTGATATGGAGAAGATCAGATTATCTGGTGCTCCAGGGGTGGCAGGATCTTGAATTTAAAAAAAATCAAAGGATCTTTACTACAAAAAAAAGTCATTTCATGTAAAATGTCTCATATGAGCCTGCAGGTGCCCTTTGCTCGCAACACCCAAACATGTTCCCCAAGTCCCTGCATAGTCACCAAAAGAGCTGATTCATAACTGCTCACACCCTTGAAAATCACAGCTAAGGAGAGAGAAGGATTTTTTTTTCTCTAGTACCGTCTGATGCATTTTGGGGGAAAAGAGTATTATGAATATTATATTTGTATTATTGTAGTGTCTTAGAGACCCGATCATGGACCAGGACCCCATTGTGCTAGGCACTATACAAGCACAGAACAAAAAGAGTTCCTGCCCCAAAGAGCTTATAATCAAAGCATAAAGCAAGAGAAAATAGATGAATACAGACAGACCAGGGAATATAAGGAAACAATGAGACAATATTGGTCACCATCATAGACCGTGATCAAGCAATCTGATATTGGCCCCATAAAGTTTCGGGAAATGCCTTGATAATGCAGGTAAACTTTCCTGGGCTATTCATTCTCCCACCCTGGGGCTATTGTCTTCTCATGGTTGTATTTGCCCTAATGTCCTAGTCATTAGGGTAATATCACTGTGTGGGCAAGAATGCTGGGATCAACTAAATTCAAATAAGTTTGTGATATATGAGTTGACTGTGAGTTTGTTTTACTGGCTGCAATAATTCCAATATTACAGAAATACAGAATTAAAAGTCATGAGAGGAGAGAGAGTAAATTTGTCAATATGTGACAAAGCTGGACAGTAGTGTAGCATGAATGATGAAAACTTTTCAAATTCTGTCCGCGACAGTGCTCTATGTTGACACTAGTGATAGATAAATAAGGATATTATTTTTTAAAAGATGATGGCATCTCTTTTAAAAAACAAACAAACAAAAAAAAAAACACCAAAACCCTCTCTGCAGAAATTAGTTAACAGATACTGATTCCCAGCTGGACCAGGTCTGTGTCATGGTTGTTTGTGGCTGCTGGGAGCGTGAGTTGGGTTGATAAATGACTCTGACAAGTAGGCAGAAAGTTACAAACAGGTAGGAGTTAGATTACCAAAATAAAAGCAATAAAATAACAAAGAGCTTTATATTCCCCCTAATTCATGAGGACACTTAAATTCTGGCTGCTACTGCTAAGGCTACGCCGGAGCATTTCTGTAGTTTAGCAGTCTCCTTGAAACATGACGCTACTGCACAGGCCATTTATAGGCAACTGTACTTTGTGTATTAGTGCACCTGTCTGTTAATCCCAGCTGGGCTTGCCTCTGCCCAGTAGCAGTGATGATCAGGAAGTTATTGGTTGCTCCTGAATCACCCTGAAAGGGAGGAAACTGCTATCCTTTCCTCAGGCAAACCAGTGCTGAGTTAAGAAGAAATTCCAAACAAGTTGGGTCCTGTGTGTTCCTTTTAACTGGGAAACATTAGGAAACCTCTTCCAGAGGAACCATCGAAACATTAGGAAATCTCTTCCAGAAAAAACATCCCAACTACGGGCTAACAAGCCCACATCCTCCACTGTGTCATAAGCTCTTTGGAACAGGGCAAATTCTACAAATGGGGAAAGATAAAATTGTTGCAGAAGGACTCTTAATTTTTCAGGCCTCTAAAAGGGTGTATTATAAACAATAGAGAGTAAAACAAATAGCAATACTAAGTAATTTATATCACTTTCATCCATCAACTTGCTTTTGTTAACATGAATATGGCCCTTTGTTTATCAGCTATGTACACAGAAAGAGAGAGAGTACCAAGTGTGTCTATCTTCCCCCCTCCAATCCATCCCTTGAATACTGTTTTGTTCTGCTTTGTTTTAGAACATTCTGGAGTTGTCTCTCTTTGACGAAGACGTTCTGATAAATGATGAACTTACTTCTATCGTCTTTGATGTGGGGGGTATAAAGCCAGGCCAGCCTTTAAAGCGCACTTTCAAGTTAAACCCAGAGGTTGGTACCATTCACCCTGTGACCAAGTACCTTTACAAATCTGTTCAATACAGCCACACAGAGGTTCAATCACACTGAGAGAAACCTCTCCGCATTGCAGAAATTGTGGAGTGCTTTTGATAATGCTCTTATGGTTATAGGGGTTTTGGTTTCTCTTGGCAGCCATTTTGGTGACAGTTGACGTTATTTGGAACACTGATATTAGATGCTTCCCCGTACATGTTAAACAAAGGGACCACTTCTCTTTTGCGCACTTCCTTTTCTGGCTGGTATCCTGAATGTTATATCACTGGCCATGCACACTTCATTCTTCAGGCTTTACATTCTCTGTGATCCAGCTGTAACCAAAACCCCTATAACCAACTGTAGAGGGTGACGCAGTTGCACATGTTTGAGCAGGTCTGATATTTATTCACTAAGCACCAGTACTACACATGCACAATACTTACTCTTCTCTTTTCCACCAATTGACTAAAACTCATCCTGCGGAATCCAGTGTAACCAGGAGTTCAGATTCTAGAGCAGGTTGCTGACTAGTTATCCCACATCTGTGTGGACTTCTGTATAGATAGAACTAGGGACCTTTTGGTCTAAAACCACAAGTCCCTACTACTTACGATAAAAGGAGACTCTCCCTTGGGTATAGAAGGATTCGTATCCTCTGTGGGCCCTGACAAGCAGTACAGCACAAAGCAGCTCTTGTAACATAAGAGATATTGCCTATCATCTAGGCTCAGAACTGCCATTTTATAAAAAGTATCTTAATTTCCCTGGCAAAGATGCATTCGGATTGACCCAGTGTATTGAAGTAATTACAAAATATTGGGGAAAATATAGTAAGCTAGTTTACATGCAAATACAGCCACCCTACATTTTCAAAAGTCACTAGTGATTTTGGTGTTTCTAAGTTTTTGGGTGCCCAACTAGAGACAATTCAAAGGGGCCCCTGTATTTCAAAAAGTGCTGAGCACCCACCTTCTGAAAATTAGGTCTCTTTAAAGTGTCTCAAATTGGATTCCCAAAAATCGATTCACTCAAAATCACTAGTCACTTAGGAAAATATAGGCTAGCATATCTATATAGGTATTATTAGTTTGCAAGGATCAAATATTCTTTGCTGCAAAGGCTCTCTCTCAATTTTAACAAGTTCAAAACTTAAGAATAACCACCTTCCCCATGTTAAAATCTTGAATTGCTACATTCAGTCAAATTCGCAGATTTTGCATGTGCTGGAGATGTAAGCGCTCTTCAACTACTATTGGTCCAGTTACTTTAGTTCCAATCTTATTGTTTTGCAACAAGATATCCCATCCCTGGTCATTGCCTCAGCCAAGTTATACCCAATAGGCCTGGGTGAAGACAAACCAATTTCAGCCTTCTTTAAGAAATGTGTGCTAACTTCTTTAATACTATTCAAACGGATCCTACTTAGAAGCTGGAATGGCTGAGTTCAGAAGCAAACTTACCTGTGTACACTGTTACTGAGGAGTAATGATCCCTCATCTAGGCAACCTAGATGATGTGTAGTAGTCTAAGTTCTGTCTACATTGAAGCTCAGATCACATGATCCTGGAGGGCCTTTTGTAACACCTCTACCCCTCTTTTCCCAGAGCCTGATTAGTGTGGTCTTGGCCACTAATTGTGATCCTGAAAAACTGATTAGGGGATCCGGAACTGAAAATTAGTGCCCCAGGGAGAAGTGCCAAATACAATTGAGTTAGGATCTACATTTATTTCCTGATTAGATATGTTCTTTGTAATCCGTTACTGAATGCTTGCTGGGCGTTGTGAATGGGAGATGGGCCAAAGTCTGCAGAAGGCTGTTAAAGACAGCAATGAGCTCAGAGTGCAAATTGCTGAAGAAATGAAACTAAACATAGGTAGCCCATATGTAGCTATAATCAGTTATGCTGCCATATGGGTATTGGAGTTCAAAAGGGCTTCATTGAATAAAGTAGGGACAGATTTGAGAGCAAAGTTCCCCTTGTTCCCCTATAACCTGCGTATGTATATAGTACTTAGCATGTTCAAGTTCAAAGCATTGTTCAGCACTAAACATTAGCAAGGTGCTTGTGTAGACAAACTATTAGTTTGAAGCAAGCTGTAGTGTGAAACTACCTCAGACTAGCCTACTGTGCACCAA